ATGATGGTTCAAAACGCCGCCTGTGCTCCAATGAGTCAGCTCGCGACCATGGCTTCGAGATGGTGAATGCCTCTTCCGGACCCATGCCATCATCAACGACAGTTCATCATGCGATGGGAATGTCCGAGAAACACCAGAAGCCGATCCCACCAGGAAAGGCCAGTGGCAAAGAGAAGGCCGTGGTGTTGCCAAATGGCATCAGCTCCTTGACCGAATGGGGAGCCACCATCTGCACCTTGCCCAAGGTCAAGAGTCAACACCTCCGCTACCACGAGATGCTGACGATGAGCCATGAATCGAAGGACATGTGCAGCTACCTGCAGTGGGTTCGCACCTCCGGCATTAGCTCCGCCAAGGTGCAGGACCTGAAGTCCTATATGGAGGCAATGAATTTCACGCCAGGCCCTTCGTCAAGCAATGTGACCTATCCTGGCACGCAGATCGTTCGCGAATTTTGAGATTCCTAGGAGTGTGAATCGTGACATGGCCGTATGAACCGCAGGAACCCGATTGCTCAGGCATAAAACGGGCGCCGGTGCGATGCCCCAGGTGGGGCTACCGCTGCTACATATATATATATATATTTGTAGGCTTGTGTGCGCAGGTTCCCCTTGCAAGCGCCGGCTTCTTAAATACACTTGACAAGGTGTACCTCCACAACCAAGAATCGCTCGGCGCGCAGCTTCAATGGGCGCAGGACCTAATGACCTCATGGAGTGAAATGGACCGCCTCTGCCTAGACACACTCACGGCGTGCTTCGCACACGAGACGGCCTGTCTCACAGGTCCGCTGCGGTCGCCCCCGAGTGCGCGCACGAGCCGGCCTCTGGATTCCGCCTCAGCTGGAACTGACAAAGCAATCGATTACCTGGTCAGTGATTTTACTTGAGAAAAACATTGGCTTAAACATATACAAGCATAGACCCCAAGCGGCTTCAAAACGATTCGTTTAGACCAATGTTAGTCAAAAATCGATTTCTTGGTACGCCCTACTTTCACCCCAAGAGCAAACTGCTTCATCAATGAATTTTTGTCGGCATTGACATCGCTATTTGTTCGGCCACACTCCTCTCCAGTAAGCCGGGCCACAGAGACCAGCCACAGAGTTCAGGGGCGCGGCCAAGACAAGGACAAGAGGAGGACAAGAAGAGGACAAGGCCCAGCCACAGAGCCCAGCCACAAAGGACAAGAGGAGAGGCCTGGACACAGAGCCCACCCACAGGAGGACCAGGCCTGGACACAGAGCCCAGTCACAGAGGACAAGGTGAGGACAAGGCCTGGACACAGAGAGAACAGAGCCCAGCCACAGAGGACAAGAGGAGGACAAGGCCCAGCCACAGAGTTCAGGGGCGCGGCCAGTGAGTGTGGCCAGCTCTTTTTTTCTAAGATAGAACCCCAACAGTAAACTGTTTGGGGAAAAATCGTTGTTCTAGAAGAGTGCCATTTAAAAATGGTTTCTTGCTTTTCAGCGCATACCTGTCTACTGGGTACCACCAGCCCAGCCTGGTCCGGAAAGAAAACTGTCCGGACTTGGTCTTGCGCGGCTGGCCAAGTGAAGCGAGTTCGAACATGCAGATCCTACTAGGTACATCAAGTTTTGGGGTTTCGTGCAAAAACATGTTATAATGTAATGCATTGCGCACCTTCATGAGAACTCCTGTTCCAGCTTGTTTTCTTTTGACGTCTGAGAAAAATGGCCAGGTCGGTGCAGCAGTCGGGAGCGCCTTGATGTAGAGACTTCACGGCAGGCGCAGTGCTTATTGTGTGCACCTGGATGTGCAGATTTTGTGGCAGTCACAGTGTTTAACGCTTGCTTTTGCGCGTGTTGCTCTTATGCGCGTGCTCTCAAATGTGAAGCTGTTTGGGGTCTATGCTTGTGTATTTTAAATCAAGGTTGCGTCAGGCACCCCCCATTCACGCGGTCAATCATGCTCATGATCGATGTTCCAAAATGAAATCGCTGTGTTTGGAATGTTGGAAATCGTTGATTTCACCCTGCTGCAAGGCGAAGGTCAATGTTTTGAAATGTGCACACTACTACTTTGCAACTTTCTGGTTTAAAAAATGTCCTTTTGTAAATGAAACTTTCTTGGAGATAGCTTTTGGTTTTAGAACGCATTGTGTCTACCAACCAATAGTGGACATCACTTCGAAACCTCATACCCGAGCATCCCCGAGGACTCTAAGCAGGGCACTGCGCCGGAGTACACGAGCGAGGGTATGTAGCTTTCAATCAAGGATGCCATCCTTAACACGCGTCCCCAAAAATAGAGATACTTTCGAGACTCGAGGTAGGTAAAAATCTCACCTGCGGGATGTGGAGGGGGGAATTAGCTCCAGGGATCAGGGTGCTCTGAGCTTTCTTCCCAAGGCGAAACCATGCACAAAAATTAATTTGTTTATTTTAAATGCAGAATTGACGGCGTTAAATTTTACCCTTTGGAGGCATATCCGCAAAAGACCACTGTGATTGTTTGACCAGCATCGCAACAGCGCTTGATGCACGTGGTTACAATCATTTTGCGTCCATCAGTCCACGGATCTTGCCACCCCCAGGGTTCTGGATGGATTCTCTCAAAACATTGTGCATCGTAGAAAACAATAAGTTTTGCTTGCTCGCAGGATACTTGCGCAGGCACCGAACACTAGCGTGTTGGCATACTGATCGAGAGAGGTATTGACTGCCCGGATCTCGACAAGCTCTCTCACCATGGATCGCCAACGCGCACCCCCAGAAGGATGCAAGGACGATGCGAACTTGTCTATTCATTTTGAACTTTTGGCCTTGTGGATGAAACGACTCACCTAGTCACTGAAGATGAAGCCTAGATTCTATATATAGACTTTTCTTCCTCCTGGCTTAGGATGAATCCTGGATCTTCTCTTAAAGACAATCCCAGACCATCTATAGGACGGAATCTGGAGGAGGTTCCGGAGCAGGATCCAGAGAAGGTTGCGGAGCTAGTTCCGGAGCAGGTTCCGGCGCAAGGCGGGTTCCGGAGGTTCCGGCGGACAAAGTCCCAGAGTCCCGGAGCAGGTTCCGGAGGTTCTAGAGCAAGTTCCGGAGTAGTTCCGGAGGGCTGGGCTTCCTGGAAATCTTTGGCTGTGAGCCCGCTGTGAAAAGGTAGGCTTCGCATCCATGAAGCTTTCAAGAGCGCGCAAGGTGTTTCTAGCTGGACTTTCCTTGGGCTTATGATCTTCTGCTCTGGCACGACGTCAGAAAGTTTTGCGGCGTCCAGCCTGACGAGCAGTCTGGCGGGCAGGAAGAGGGCGGAGAACGTGTGGATGCTGCTTGTGGTGATTTTGGCTCGGCTGCCTTGGCAGAAGAAAGATGTAACTGCGGCTCTGGGGATTGGATTTGTTGTTGATCATAAGCTCCTTCATCATCGCTTAAGCAGAGCCCAAGCAAAATCTGGCACGCATGTCTGGGTATGTACGGATGTCAAGGTGAGAGGTAAAGATGTGCAGATGTGAGGGAGAGATGTCGTGCAGATGTGCAGATGTGCATGTCTTCAATATGTGCAGATGTGAAGATGCCCGGATGTGAAGATGTGCATGTCTGGATATGTGCGGAATTAAGTGGAAGTTGTGATGATGTGTGATGCAGTGACGCACCCATTTTTTAGAAGAGCCTTTCGCGCGTTCTGGGGAAAAGAGAATGCAAAAAAACACATTTATGTTTTTCGAAAAGGTTGACGAACACCTCTGGGCAAAAAATGGTTGAAAGGGCAATTGTATAGTTCCAAATGGGATTTTGAAAGGAAAACAACATCTATATATTAACATCGGCGCAAAGGCATTTTTAGGCAAACAAAAATCATACAACATTGAAAAACTGCAGCTTAAACATTATACTGTAGGATTTGATGAAACATACGTACCTAGAACACTGCAAGGACGGCTATCGCTTGGGGAACAAACGCAAGAAAACAAAAATCCAGAAACACAAAGTTGAGTGGCAAAACATGCTTAAAAGGTAAGACATTGCCAATTTGTTGAAGCTATATTTGGCTGTCGTTATAGGTACTACTGTCAGTGGTGCATGTCCCAAAAGAATTAACGCTTTGGGGAAGGAAACCCTATTGGCAACTTTGGTGATCACCCAACAGGCCTGCTTGTGATCGTCATGCATCAATATTTAAACACGCTGTTCGAGGGTCAGGTCGATGATTTTTGGCGTTGATAGTTGGAGCTGGGCGGATGTGTGGGATCTGTTTTGAGTGTGGGTGGATTTGGACTTCTGCGCGCGTAGTCTTTTTTTGCCGGTGTTGCGGCACAAACTTTGAGATGCACAGCCTGATCCTGCAGGAGGATCAATGAGGCAGTGGTTGTTTGTGAGCTAGCTCCAAACGTCAACTCTGCAAGCGTGTGGCGAACAGGAAGGAACCAGTATTTGGGGCACTTGGGGTGTGTTCCTTTAAATAAAACACATCGTGGAAGGGATTTTTCCCGGGTTTGACGGTCCTTGTAAGCAATGGCAGGACCTCAAGAGCCTGGACGAAGGTCAAGGTGCCGTGCTCTTGGTCGCCACACCTGGACGTTTGCAAAGTCACGCCCCTTGGTGGCCACACCGAAGGGAAGGCGGATGGGGGGACGGCGGAGCTCGATCGGGGGCGAACGCGATGTGGGGCGATGTGGGGGATCTCCTCCGCGGGCGTCCAACCTTCGGTTTCACTCGTGTCTTCGGGCCCAAGCAGGGCTTGGTTTTTGCCCAGAGGGGTTTCGGTCGAACACCGCAAGAAAGCAAGCAAGAGACGCGTTCCGAACGGCCGTTCGGTGGGTCAGAGCGGTTTTGTTCTCTACAAGTAGCTTTGAGTTCACGTCGTCCACGTGTGTTTGGGTCACATCATTGGTCACCATTCGGGACACAAACATCCATGGTTAGATTCAGTGTTTGGGACGCAAGCAGCCCGCACCACCGACCTGACCACCGTTTCTGCGTTTCAGTTGATGTTAAGCACCATATGACCATATGAAATCACTAGCTAAATGCCAACGGCATGGTCTCCCGACGTGCCTGGATTCCTCAGGTCGCCAAGACCGAGGGTTTTGCCGCGCGGCTGCGACGCGTGCGGATCCTGGTGCTGGATGAGGTGGACCAGCTCGCCAGTGTGCCTTGCTTCGGCTGATGTGTGCGTGTTCGTTGGTTCGTTCGTTCGGTGGTGCGTGCGCGTTTGGCGGCGTGGCGTGTTTCTTTTGGTTCATCAGGCGATGAATGCATGTGGCATGCCTCAGGTTTCCTGAAGTCCACCGCAGGGTGCATTTAGGTCAAACATGAAGAACACAGATGTGTGTGTGTGTGTGTGTGTGTGGAGATCTGGCCTTTGCTTCTTCTCAGCCTGGCAGAGACCAGAGACACCAGAGGCCTGAACAGATGGACCAGTGCTTCGAAGTCCGCGCTTCTCACCTCGCCCGCGACGAGGAGACGTTCCGGGCTGCGACGCTGGAGATCGCGGCGGCCCTTCCCCCGTGCTCCGAGCGGCAAGGCGCGGCCTGCACGGCCGGTCTGCGCGGCCGGCAGCGGCCCACCCGACCCGTCCTCCCAAATCCCAAAGCGATTTCAGGAAGAACTCGGAATTAGTAGACTCGTCTAGCAAACCCCCCCCATCGGTTGAAGGCTTTGGGACCCATCCAACTCAAGAGTTTGACGTCCATCGCGACTCGCCAGTGGGTCGTGTCGTGTCGTGTCTAACCAGCGTGGAAGGTCGGGTCGACCAGTCGACCTCCGAAGCACACGGGTGCATGAGTGGAAGGTGGGTGAGTCGTCATCCGTGGGCACAGTCATCCGTGGTCATCCCGGAGGCTTTTCGTTCAAATTCCCTTGGGTTTTTTCGTTGGAATCGGACACGATCTCTACAAGTTTGGCTTTACGTCCTTTGCTTGGATGCTGGGCTCAGTGCGCCCGCGAAAGCTGCCCCAAATACACCAAAAGCCATCCCCTTGAAACCGTCCAATTCCCACCTAGCCCTTGGTTTTATTACGGCTTTCACACTCCAAAAGCGAACGGGGTCATACCATTCTATTCGTCTGAACGATCGGCGTCTCGGCGTCTCAGGCGGGACTCGACCGGGACTCGGACCGCACCGAACTCGCTCAACCGGTCGTGCGGGGTTCGGGGTCGTGGACGGCGAGTTCGGCGGGGTCCGATCCTTATAGAGCTCCCATCTGATCCCTTCGAGACTGAAGAGACCTGCAACTCTTCGGTTCCGGTTCGGCCACCAGGGCCCCGAGGGTCACCGGGCGAGGCCTCTTCTATTCCGCCACGGTGTCGGATGCCGTGCACGGCCTGGTGCGGCAGATCGGGCGCGGGGACGGCCTCGCCTTCGTGGACGCCGCGCGGCTGCTAGTAGTGAGGGCGGCTGCTAGTAGTGAGGGGTGAGAGGGCTGCTAGTAGAAAGGCTGCTGTTAATTGGTATAGTAATTTTTGAGTTGATGAGTGCGAACAGGAGAGAGGGGAGGCCTTCAAACTGCTACAAATGGTCCTGGACGAGCTTGGACGAGTTTTGGGGAGGCTGTCAGGAAATAGGATGGATTGAGAACTGAATCACTTGGGAAGAGATTTCTTGGAACCAGCTTGGACTGGGAAAGATGTCCCAAATCTGCCGAGCCCACTCCCACCGGAGTTGTCCTCAGCGGAGGTGATCCAGTCGGATGAGGTCGTGGTGCCAGAGCACATTGACCAGTGTCTGTGTTGGATTGAGAAGGTTTTGACCCTTGTCCTTTGCGCAACCCTTTTTTTGACAAGGTGGAAACGGAAACGATTATATATCCCAGTTGGCTATAGTCGGCTGGCAAGACAATGCAACCACCAACCAGGTATTACTCGCTGGTTCCCACAGAACGAATGACCGAGTGCTTGTGGCGATTCCTGCAGTCGCACGCCAAGCCAGACTTCAAGGCGGTGGCTTGAAAGAACATTTTGGTCTAGAGTCCAAAGTAGATCCATGGTAGGTGAAGATCGCCAGTAAGTCTCTGTTTCAAGGATCGTCGGGTGCGCACATAAGTGGTCGCAAAGTGCTCCCCCTGCTTGTTGACACGTACCTCACCGAACCTAGGATAAGGATTCGTTAGCTTCAAGGTTTTTCTGCACCTTCATAAGGGGAATTCCGGCGTAGGTGATGGGGACTTGGGTCTGCAGCCATTGTGTTCAACTCTCAACTGCCACCTGTCCAGTCTTTGGATCTGTGATCCGCTGGTGCCTCCGCACGTGCCTCCGCACGCTTCAGCCTTCAACACCCCGGCGACGCTTCAGCCTTCAAGTCCGGTGTCAGGCTGTCGGTTCTCGTTTTGAGGGACGCAGTTTTTTCTGCCTATCTGGCACCTGTGCCCAAGTCCAACTGTTTACCAGATCGGCTTCCAAAGCTGCGGACGGCTGGCTAGCGTCCGCATCCTCCAATGAGTCATGCTGTGGTTATTCCAAGTTCTCAACTATAGCCAGACGAACCAGGGTGATGGGGGTGTAGACATCAACGGGCCACGGAAAAATCCTTGGTTTCGGCCGAGGTGGCCATCTTCATGACGGGCCGGATCGCCGCCTATTACGCCGAAGCCTTCCGGAAAGCAGGCGGGGACAAGAGCTGAAGCACAGGTGAGGGGGGTTGACAAGCCAAACCACTCTCAACGCCTTCAAATTGCAACATTTCCAAGACCAAACTGAGTTTGTAGCTGAACATTTTTGGGCTTTGATGGTCGTCTTTTTGGGAAGCACGTGTTCTTTGTAGACCCTACCAGGCAGCCCTAGCAGCTATAGCACCAGAGAACTGGGCACATTCCGAGTCAGTGGTGTCTTGAAATGAAGGAACCTCCAAACCACGCTTGTGAACAGTGAACATTGAATGGCTTGGCTTCAACAACACCAGCTGCGTTGGTTCTTGATGTTCTTGATTCCCGGAATGTCACCCCCCAGAGAATCCAAGCATTGAACATGCCCTGATGCCCTGGGCGCGCACTCCTTGGATCGGCCCGCTTTGGTCGGAGCGCCGCTGGTCGGACGGCTTATTGGCCGTCCAGCATTTCCGTGGGGTGGTGCCAATGCCAGGAGCCCCGAACGTAGCTTCTTGTTCCTAGTAGTAAGGCCAGGAGCCCCGATCGTAGCGTCCTTGCTCCTAGTAGCGATGCTTGCTCCTAGTAGTAACAGGAATTCTTTGCCTCATGGCAGGAACAGATCTGGCGGTCTTCGAGATTCATGCAAGGAGGAGCCAAAAGCAGAGGACAGGTCCTGGTCCTGGTGCGAACACTCGAGCGTGAGGGGAATGGCCAACTGCTCCTTCCTCTTTGTGGCAATGGGTCCTGTGCAGTGAATTTGGGGAGCTTTTCTTAGAGATCCTAGTTTTGCCGATGTTTTCTTTCACGGAATAATCAGTTGCCTTGCAGACGCATTGTGCATTTTTGGGGGGTTAGATCATGAGTGTTTGTTGCTTCTAAATGTTACAGGCTTTGAGGGACTTCTAAGCTGCTTAGACGCACATGCTGCTTTCTCCCATTTAGCCAGGCATGTCAGATGTTAGGCTTATATATGCCTCTTCTGGCGAAGTGTAGTCTCCACTTGCTGAGCCTGTGAGGGCAGCGTTGGGGCGTTGAGTGTTGGTCTAGTAACCAACAGTTGATGAATAGATGTTGGACTTGTGGCGCAGGCGCTTAACAAGACAAAGTCTTCAATAAGGGTGCTGTTTTGTTTGTTTGTTTGTTTGTTGGTTGGTTGGTTGGTTTGGTTTGGTTTGGTTTGTTTGTTGGTTTGGTTTGGTTTGGTTTGGTTTGGTTTGGTTTGGTTGTTTGGTTTGGTTTGGTTTGGTTTGTTTGTTGGTTTGGTTTGGTTTGGTTTGTTGGTTTGGTTTGGTTTGGTTGTTTGGTTTGGTTTGGTTTGGTTTGGTTTGTTTAGGTTTGTTTTGGTTTTGTTTGTTTGTTTGTTTGTTTGTTTGTTTGAATATCGGAAGCAGACGTGGAAGGAGGCGACTTTTTAACCGAACCTGTTATTCTGACCACGAGTCGTTGAGGGTCTATGTTTGACGCATACAAACACTGCGCATTTCTGTTTGAGCAATCGGGAGCCTACCTGAGTCACCCAACAAGAACACATAAAACTCAATGCTTCAAAGCGGTGTGTTTTCAGAGGGTCTCTTTTCCAGGGTGTGCTCGTTGATCACATGGGTATGTCTCATCGATGACTCTCTTGCGAACCCGCGAGGGACGCAAACTGGGGTAGCAAAGTCAAGGAGTCGTCCGCGAACAACGAGGCAATGATTCTATAAAGTGTGCAACTACCCAATACTACGGACAACTGGCAATACAGATCCCTTTTGACACATGTTTACCTCAGGCCATGTAGGAGGGCATCGATATGTTTCCTTCCAAGCACTTCCCGAACACTTTTTCCACGACACGCATCCTGCCTTCGAATCGGATCGGTGGCCCTCCCGGTCACTCGTCACTGGTGGCGACCCGGGGGGCACCGGGGTCGCACTTCCGCGGGGAGGACCGAGGAGTCGGAGCGCTTCCGCGCGGCGGAGCGGGGCGTGCTCTTCACCTCGGACGTGTCCAGCCGCGGCCTGGACTACCCAGGCGCCCTACGGTGCGCCGGTTCACGGTTCGGCTCCGCTGGGGGGGGGGGTTGGGGGGGGGGGGTGGGGGGGGGGTGACTTCGGCGGCGGTGGTTTGGAAGCAGGTGGGGAGAGGAGGGGGTTTCGTCAGGTTTGGGTGTTGGGAAGTGGGTTCGGTTTTTGCTGTGTGGGGTTGATACAAAGGATTGGGGCCTGAATTTTGGAAGTACAGTATCGATATTTCAAGGATTTTGAGCTTCCGGTCATCCCCTCGGTGCGGGTATTGGACATGTGACATGTTGATGTTCCTGCGTTAGTTCCAGCTACCCCAAATACACAGCTGTTTTGTCACATCTGCATGACTCTATGCAACGGCCTGACATTTTTTCTTCTGGAACTCCATAGGCTTAGCCGTAGTGGATTTGGCCAGAGGAACAAGCATGTCCGGAATTCTCAGGTTCTGGCGGAAATCGCATGTCTGTGTTTGATGGCGCAAACTCTGCACCCGTTCCGAACAATGGTACCTCCTTGTACAAGTTCTTGCAGCGATTGGGTAGGTTGTGTTCTACACCTTTCGTTCACAGTGGACGGCCAAACGGTTTCGCAACTCAAGGATCGTATGCACTAGTGCCTAATGAAGGCCCTGGATGCATGTCGCCACCAACATGTAGAGGATGATTTTCCTGGACGTTCCTCCAACGCACGCAGACTTATTTGCCACATCAGCTATTACTTTCCGCGACACACGGCGTAGACGAGCAACAAGAATTGTTGGGGTTTGTTCTATTTCACCTACAGCAAAGGTAAAAGGTGGTGTTGCCCTATGTGTTTGGTCAACATTAGAAATTAGCTAGAGAGAAACAACAGGGACCCTTAACCAGCCTTAAGAACGAGATTGCAGCTAGAAGGACTCTACTGGTGCAGCTAGAGAAAGAACAGTCTGACTGAGGGTGCCAATCGACCTGGTTCCATGTTCGTTTTCGGGAGTGTAGTCCACGTAGGCCGTCGGAAGATGTGCTTTCCTGGAATTTCTAGTAGGAACGCCTCGCACTACATAGACGACCAGCAAGCAATTCCTACTAACACCAACACCTTGATTGCCCAAATCTTGCCCCGAAGATGGTTAGAGCTCAAAACACAGGACCCAGGCTTGTGTGGCTGCAGATGTTTGACTGGTTTCCAATTCCCGCCAAGAGTCAGTTACACTTTCCTTGTTTCGCAATCCGATTCCCGCCAACCATCATCGTTCGTTCACATGTTGTTTGTGGTAACTGATGGGATACATGCAAGCGTGCGCTTGTGCCACCTGGGCGGAATCGTCCATGTCCAATCTTCATGTCGCCGAACTCCAGTTGCAGGTGTGACGCATGTGGTACAGATGGGCGCAGCACACTCCAAAGCAGCATCTTTGGCTAGGGTAGGGAAGAGACGATACTTCAGGGTGCGCGGGGTGATGGGATTGCAGAGTCAGCCAATTGCCAAGATAAAATGGGTTGTTTGTAGCAAGAATATCAACATTTCCACTGCAAGGCAGTGACCGAACTCTAGACTCAGCCGAAGACCTGATAACCACTATGTGATTGCTGTGGGGTGCCCACATATGTTGCAAGCGCGACAAAGCCGCAACAAGCAAGAACGGTTTTGAATCAACGCCACGTGTTCGCTGCGCCGGCTCGAGCCAAGCAGGCTCGGACGGCTGCGTGCTGGATCGTTTTGTGCTACAGTTGTGCGATTCTTTGTCCCTGAAGGAGGCAGCCCATCCTTGGTTTCTTGCCTGGCTTCTTTGACCAACCCAAGCGGGGTCAGTCGCTTGCGCAAGAAAACCGCGCCCATGTGACGCCCTTGAAGGTCAAATTCTTGACGGCGATCCTGCGGGTGGACATGGGCGTCTACAACAAAGAGGGTGAGCGCGGGCAAAGCTCACTTGATGGTTGTGTTGTTTGTTGCGTTCCTTCTCGTCGCGGGCTTTTTGCAGGCCTTTTGGACAGCACCAACAGAGGCCCAAAATGCTACCCTCAGCGGCAAGATGCGGAGAGGGAGATAGCACGTTTCATGCTGAGCTGAGGGTGGTCTCCAGCTTGGTCTTCTAAACATGGGGGGCTCTTTAGTCAAACGGGTAGAGTCCATGGATCCAAAAACTGCCCAGCGCCATCCACGTTTAGGGCGGCTAACGGAGATCCTTTGACACACACCGTCACGCAAAACACCGCTTCAAAGGATTTCACACTCTTCTTCTTGAACCTCATGAAACCACGCACTTTCGTCGCTTGGTCCTTTTTCGGTGGACTTCAACATGACACCCTCAACATGACACCCTACTTTCAGATCTATGGAGATTTGGGATCCACTGAACTCTCTTCACGGCAGCCCGGCAAGGCTTGCCCGGATGAGTGCTCGGATGAGGAGGAGGCTCCGGCTCCTCCTCCGCAGCCAGCAGAGGTGGCGCCTAGGTGCGGCGCCATTTGATCGACTATTGTATACGGCTCGGTAGACCGGTCAACGATTTCGTATTAGTGAACGATTCCTAACATGAAGGCAGATGTAAGAACACCCAACAGATCCCAAGAGCCTTTGGCTTGCACTGGTGTGCTGCAATGTTGCGGAGAAGTTCAAGAGAAATTGGGAACACCGCACGCTTGCGGCCCTTGGCCTTCTACACTTGGAGAAGCCTGACGCGGCCGCAGCCGAAGCTGCGTATCGCAAGATGTGTCTCGTGACCCATCCAGACAAGGGGGAGCGCTGATGCATTCACGCAAGACACCTATGCAGTGGTTGCCGCCGCAGCTGACTCAGGTGGCCCTGTCCAGCCTCCACCAACATCGGAGTGTGGAGATGCGAGAGGACAACCGCCAGGCCTGACGGTGTACCACAACCTCTTAGCGCAGTGCTTCCATGGCGGATACTGGTGGCGAGTAGCTGATGCTCCATGCAAAAGCTGTGGCAAGAAGGGCTTCAAGAAGCTCTTCTACGCACAAGAAGGCATGGAACAAGCAGCCTGCTGCCACGGTGCCACGGCGAGTGGTGCAAATAGTTTTGGGTGAAGGGCTTGATGAGCTCAGGTCAACCTGGATGAGCCTTGGCTGATCTACAGGCGCGTGAAACAATGAATTCAACTCCATACGTGTATTTATATATATATATACAAATGCACACGCGCGCGCGACATCACCATTGCTAAGGGCCGTGGATTTCAACGCCGAATGCAACGCGCAAGTGAGAGCGACGGAACTTGACCCAGAAACGCGTGGCCGCCAATCGCCCGAGCTAACCTAAACTTGTTATCGCGGGGTCGAGAACACCGGTCTACCGCTTTAAGGTGCTTTGAATACGAAGGCCACCGCGACTTGGAAGGCGCGTGTTTATAGTTCATGAGTCAGTGTCGTGGCGCGGGCAAGTTTCCAATTTGTATGCTTTGCCCTGTTGTCGCCTTGCTCAGTTGTTTCCGCCGCTATCGATGCAAATGAGCCCCTGTGTGCGCGCGCGTGCATTTTGAGCCGTTGGATGCGAAGCAGAGCCGTTCGTGCAAACTGTTTCCACGCCCGCCCTTCGGTCCGCGCCGTATGAAACCCAAAGATGGTGAACAACAAATTCGAGGTCGCGTGCATATGGGCAGTTGCCAAAAGGCGCGCAACGGTTTGCGTCATCCAGGAATGCAGCAATGACTTTAGTAGATTTTGTAAAAATATTCATATACACACACATACTACATACAAAACTCATTAAACACACCGTTTTTGCATTGCAGGCAACGTCGCTTACCTTCAGCCCGCATGCCCGATAAAGCACCCTGGCCCCGGGTTTCTCTTCTTGGCGTGTTGCTGATTTTTCTTCGCCAATACAACTTTTAAGTGTGCTATTTGATGACTGTTTCGAGGCTTTGTTGTTTTTCACGCTTTTCATCCGTTTGATTCCTTCCGTCTTGTCTCCCTGGTTCTTTTTTCTAAGACTTGCTAAATTTCGCGATTAGAAAAGTTTCAGGCTGTTTTGGGGTGTTCAGACAACCTGGAGCCACTGGGGTGGCTTCAAAAAAATTTGCTTGGTGCAAATCCATTAAAACCATTTGGTTTATAAGTGCAAAAGGCAAAAAAGGCATGGAAACCAAGCAAAATGAACAATGCTCATGAAGTGAACACAGCAGTGGAACCCCAGAATCTCGGTGAACATGCGTGAAAATACTAAACCTAGGGTCACAACTTACACTCCTGAGCAAGAGACTATATAGTTGGAACCAAAGCCGTTTGCCTTAATCGATACCTGCAACCTCGTGGTTGTTTTTGTTCAGCATACATGGTTTAGGCCTGCGAACCACACAAACATCCACAACCGAAATAAACATCCGCTCTAAAAACACGTTCAGGAAAAGGAACGCTGGTGGCTCACCAATAAACACCCTTAGCTTGCGTACAAGCGCCGCTCAAATATAAGGCTGTGACTCCAAAGGAAGTTTTTCACGCCGCAGATCGAAAAACATTCTGAGAAGGTCCCAGACATACTCCCTACTCTCTCTCTCTCTCTCTCTCTCTTTCTGTATCTTTCTTTGGTTTTTTGGGAAGACATGGGAAGACCCAAGACTCAAGACCATCTGACTGGTGTCCGTCCCAAAAGTCCAGGAAGTTATGTACTCAGCTACTTTCCCTCACATCATCCAAGACAAAAAACATGAAATCAACATCAAATATGAAATCAGTTGAAAACATGAAATCCGAATACCAAGCAGGTATCATGCACTTGCGGGTATTTTTTGGAAGGTCAAAAAGCTTGAGATCGGTAAAACAAACGCTCTGAGGAGGTGGTCCCAGGTATACTCCCTATTCCCTATCACCTGACCCCCCCTCTCGCTCTCCCGAGATCTCTTGGATGGAAAGAATTGGAAAGAACAACGTCGGGAGTTCCCAGAAATGGGGCGTGACCGCGCACTATCCGGGGAAGCTGGCAGGTGGCCCCCGATGAGATGATGCGATCCGGAGTTCCCGGAAGTGGGCAGCGTGGCCGCGCACTATCCGGGGAAGCTGGCAGGCACGCCCCCCCAAAACATTGATTGAAGTTGATGAAGAGAATAATGAGTAAGAGAATGAAGTTGATGAAGGGAAGAACGTGGTTGAATTGGATCGTGAGATTGATGAAGAGATTGAATTGGAACGTGATTGAGTTGTTGAAGCAGAGATTGAAGTGGATTGTGAGTCGTGATTGTTGATTGCGTTATGCTTTTGGCCCTTCTTAATTCACCGAGTTTGAGGCGGCAGAGATTGTTGTATATATATATATATGTATATTCGCTGAGTTCCTGGCGACGGGCGTGTCGTATTGAACGGTTGCATGTTGTATGGAGGTCATCCAGAGGCGGCGTGCAACTGCAAAAAGTGGCACCAAGTCAGCGGCTGCACCGGAGCAGAAGCGGCGTAAGGACTGAAGGACGATCTACAATCTGCGGGCGTGTCGCATGTTTTGGGACACTCCGCTGTGAGCGATGCCAGGTGATGGCCAAAGGTGGAGACGCTTCAGGCCTAAGAGAGGGTCTACGGCTAGAAGCCGCGGATGCCATGCAGGCATCATAGAGTAGGTGGTGCGGGCGTGTCGCATATTTGGGACACTCTGCGGTGAGCGATGGATGCTACGGGGCGCCGCGAGGAAGCGCTCTGAGACATTTATTTTCCAATTCAGTTGCCAGGCAGAGATGGGGCCGTGTTAGCTGCGAAGCTTGGTTTCCTCAAGCAATCATGCCAGGCAGGCGCATGGTTTCACATTTGTCATTCAAGCAAGTCGAGTTTTGTTTTTGTTTGATACAACTTTGTGGCGTTTGTCTGAGGACGCTGTGGGCCACAACTTTAGTGCAACGCAGCAGTTCCGGTGCGCCCTGCCAACTTATGCGGAGGATGTGCAAAAGCTGTGCCAAAGTCAGTTGGCCTCCTGCCCTTTAAGGTACTAGAGGCTCGCGTTTTTGATGCAAGTGCGCGGCCCAAACCCAGCGCGTCAGCGCGACAGCGTGGCCACAACAACATCGTGCTAGCGCGTTACTGTGGCCCGTGTCAGAGTGAACACGCGTGACAACGTGTCGTGCTGCAACGCCGTGTCAGTGTATCAGCCCTTTCCGACATACTTGCCAGTCGGCACGCATGGGCGTGACACCATTATCGTTTTTATTTTGCGCTCACATGGCACCCTGTCACCATATCGGCAGACAACACCGCAGCGTGACAACGTGTCAGGGTGTCAGCGTGACATCATGTTTGCGTGTGAGCGTGACAGAGTGACAACATGTTACGTTAAAATGCCGACGTAACAGCGCGCGCCTTACAAACGTCAGCGCATCTCCAAAGCGCTCCGGAACCTCCTCCGAATGGAAGCTGCTCCAAAGCCGCCTCTGGGAACCTCCTCTGCTCCGGAACCTGTTCCGGAACTTTCTCTGGAGCCTGGCCCGGGACCTGATGCCTTGAATGTGCTTACTGTGGTTGAAGAGCCTCAAGCTTCGCTGTTGGGAAAAATTGTTTTGTTGGCGCATTTTTTGGTTCTGAGGAGTACATCCATCGCTTGGGGCGGTGTGGCCGAGCTGGTGCCAAGGGTCACGGCTTGCTGTTGCTCCATGACTTTGAGGAAGGCCAGGAGTGATATGCTGTTGTGTGGGTCTGCGTCGCCAAAGTCACGAAGCAATAATTCAGGAAAACGTAAATCCATGTGACTGGGCAATGAATATCCAGCATGTTTGTTTGTGGCATGTGAGGCAATGTGGGGCAGTTAGCCAAGTGAGGGTTTGTGGACAAAGTCTATTAAACGTCGAACTAAACAACACTTAATTTCTATTAGCCCTTTTCGTTCCGAACGCGTGTTTTAGTTTCCAGAGCCGACGGACGTTGACCCAAAGGAAACTTTTGGAGTGGAGTGGATCATGCGGTTTTGATCTCCGCAGTTGTGGGAGATGTCGCCGTGTGGTGAAAATCCAAGTCGATGCATCGCGGTGCCACGTTGAGTTGCCCGAAAAGATCCAAGTAAAACTATTAGGCATATTCTGCAAAAATTTGTTTTGGTTACGTTGTTTTGTGGAGATATGAACATGTATACATTAAGTTATATGTATATTCATATTATCCCCCTGGCAATTTCTTCTCTAAAATGAGGGGTTGTGCCCCAAAATCAGCGCAGCTTTAGGTAAGAAAGATTTGCTGTTACCATCTCAAGACCCTACATTGACAATTCTAGAGATTTTTTTTGTGAAATGTTCATATGCAAATTTGAACTCTACAGAGAAGAGGTGTGAATGCACAGAATTCAGTCTTGCATTTTAGAGAGAGTGCATTTGAGAGTGCAACATTAGGTTTTGATTCTATAAGAAACCCGTTTCTACTGCTTTGCTTTGCTCAACCATGCTGTTGGGATGAAAACAGGTTTGATAACATTATGTTGTACAAGGGTACATGAAAGCTACCAAACAATATCAAAACATATTAAAACATATTAGTTTAGAGCATTACAATTTGTGTGAGATGACATGAAATGACAATATTTTACACTAGACTTCCATAGAAGTCCAAGGAGAACATATCATAAGAACTTGCAGCTGCTGCTCATGGATATGGAATCACATCAAATCAAAGCAAATCACTAAATTGGAGTCATTTGACTCTAAAATGCTTCTTTCTAGAATTCTAGAATTGAAGACTTCTGGCATGTATCTCATCAGTTTCCTGCTTGTTTTTAGAGTGGGCCAGGTGAGGGGCAAATCTTGTGGATTCTAAGGGTCAACCCCCTCATTTTAGAGTGAAGGGGTTATGTATAGGTTTTTATTTTAGAGACAACATTGGACCCCAAAAACAGGTTTAGGTCTCTAAAATCAGGGGCACTACCCTCACCTGGAATTTTTTCAAGAGGATTTCAATTTGTTATATATATATATTTATATCCTTGGTTTTCAGCAGTAAACCAAGCATGTTTGCCAGGCAATTTGTTTGCTCCAGGCCCAAGGACCATCAGGTGTTTGCATGGAAACCCTGCTTGGTCTGAATGAGGTTGTTACCTTCCAAACCAAACGCGTTCACCACCCGGCCGAGTCCGGCCCAAACGTTTGGCAACCTTCTTCAACCTTCCGTCATGATGTGTCGCGGTGATCCTTGGAGATCATGTGTGGGAGGTTTCTTGGAACAACTCTCTGACTTGGAGATCATGGAAGAGCCTTTGAGCCAGATGACCGAGGCCCGCCGTGGGCTGTGCCGGCGTAGGTGGCGTCACGCGTCCTACACGCACGAGGTGTTTTGGGGATATCAAGAAATGGTGAACCGCAATGTGAGACGGGAAGATAGTAGTACGAGCAAACTTGAATCATTGAATTTCAGATAGCAAGACCGTTGGACTTCTTCTAACTATACCATTTCTGTGCCAAGATTGCCCTGATCCGTTGTCCTTGCCGAAACAACATCCTTTGCATGTCCTATTCCTTTGTCTTTATCCGAACTTTACTTAATTGAGCTGCGGGCCCTTGGTTTCTTAGCGCTTGAATGGATCACAAACGCATTCCTCAGAGGGCACACGGAGAGTGCAGGACTTGCCCGACTTCATCAAGATGCCGATTGCCAAGAACGTCAAGGCTCAGGCATACTACTCCAGGACGTGGGCATGTGCAAGGTACACAAGTCGCAAGTGGGTTGCAGTCACGTCACGTGGGCCCAGCTAGTAGCCCAGCTAGTAGCCCATATGCTCACCTGTCTTTTGGGATGGACTGGTAGTCATGTAGTTTAGCAGGGCGAAGGTCCAATCAACGCCCTGTGAGAGGATGATCATGCAGTTTGCTGTTGAATATGGCATGCGACTGAGGGCTTTCTCAAAGAACAGTTTGGATGCCCTCGATGCATGGCTGGGTGGTTTCCCACAGATGCACAGACTGCTCATCCAATCATCTCCCTTTGTTTCCCTCTCTGAAAAGCGCAATTGTTTGGCTTTTGTTCCATCCTCCTCTTTCGCACCTCCCAAACAAAACCACCAACAATCCAACACGCTCTGCATTCTTCGGATCGGATTCTGATATACTTCGTGTTCGCGCACCATCCGCACCATATGCACCTTTCTATTGTATCTTTCTGTATCTTTGTTCGTCTCGGGCGAGGATCAACCACGTGATGCGGAATTCCACCGCCGATCTGCTGGAGATCATGCGCGAGGCCCACCGCTTCGCCCGCTCCATCGGCGCCACCGACGAGGAGTCCGCGCGGTCGAGCGGAGGGGGTGGAGCGGAGACCGGTGGAGACATGGAGACCGTCACTCCCTGGGGAGTCCGAACATGGAGATGAAGAAAAAAAAGTGTAGTTATATATATACACATAGTGATATGTGGTATGACTATGTATGACTACGATATATATATATATATACACACTATATTGTTTGCATGTACAGCCTATAAATACTCCGCTAGGATACTGCAGACACGTGACTTACGACATATTTTGGCTCAAGGTGAAAAGGCGTTCCGAAACGTCGAAACCTCGTTTTCATGGTAGCGTACGAGTCCGGTGAAAGCGAGAGGGACAAAGCGCTGCGCATAAAGGAAGAGAGACACAAGAAAGTTGAGAGCTCCGAGGAGGAGGAGCCGGAACCATCGGGAGCGGCAGCTTCTGCCGCCCCGATTGGAACAGGAGGAGAAGGAAAAGTAAAAGAGGAGGAGGAGAACAAGCCTTTGCCAGCCACAAAAGGCGGATCCAGCCGCAAGCACCACTCCAGCGGTCGAGAAGACCGCAGAAACAAAGGAAGAAGAGGAAAATACAAAAGGAGTGGAAGGACCAGGAGAGGAAGAAGAACCTGAACAAGACCCGACAGTTGAGCCAGAGGCTGAAGCGGCTGGTTCAGCCGCACAGCCGCCATCTGGCCGAGTTATCGCCGATTTCATCACCTCCCCAGAAGGTGTCAAAACAGGTTGGGAAGTTCGTGGCATCCACGCCAAATATACCCCAGCCAAGGTTGATCCCAAAGCACCTTGGAGGAAGCAGGTGAAGAAGCAGATTTGGGGCCAAGTCAAGAAGCACCCAGAACCAAAGTCCGGATTCCGACTTCGAAGCAGAGTTTCGCTTCAGTATCGGAAGCTCAAGGACCTGGTCAGGTTGCAGAAGAAGCAGGGTGTCATTACAGAAGACCTGAGGAGGCGCATCAAGGACTTCGGAAAGGAACGCCCGCCGCAAGAGATCAAGGAAGAGCGGGAAGAGCAGAAAGTCCGCAACAGAGAGAGGCGAGCCAAGAAGAAGAGTGAAGCGGCTGATACAGCCGACGAGAAAGAAGAAGAAGAAGAGAGCCTATCGGAAGAAGAGACTTCCGTGAGATTGAAGGAACGGAGCCGCACCTCAGAGCCGCGATACAAGCCGTGGCCGAGCAGTCTGGGGTCGAGCTTTGGAACTCAATCTCCGAATCATCACCCTGGCCAATCAGCGAGCCCAGAATCAGCCGATCGAGAATTGGAAGCTGGAAAGTCCATTCCAAGTGAGGAAGATTGCGGCTGACAAGTTGGTGGAGCAAAGGGGCTTGAAGGGATCCATCGCACTTGCTGCAATCAGGGAGCTTTGGAAGACTCCGAACGAGCAGGGCACGCGAGGATCCGGTGAAGCTTGCAGCAGCTGCGACGAGCGCAAGAAAGCGCAGCTTCCTGCCGTCCAAGCCTACATCAAGGCAAGAGGATTGAAAGGTCCAGCAAGGCTTGGAGCAAGTGCCAAGGCAAAAGTTGAGCCTAAGGCAAAAGGAAAGGCCAAAGCAAAGGCCAAGGCCGCACCTTCGATCGGCCGCAATCCAGAGGAGTTGACCTCTACGGGAACCCGGACCACTTCACAGGTCCGCGAGATCCCAAAACCTTCTTCTGATCCTTCCCAAGGGTGAAAGCCCTTGGACCGGCCTGGTAAGGGGCCGGAGATCGGACGAACCGTCCGCAGCTGAAAAGGTGCGAGTGCAGCGCCTTTGGGAGTTTGGGACCGGGTCAAAACCATGGCTTGAGAACAACAGATACAGCAGTTGTCTGATATGGTTTTGCAACTTCAGCAAAACCAGGCACGTTTGGAACAGGAAAACCAGGTGGGGAATTCCGAAAGTGGGCTAGGAGCATAGACAACTTGTTTGTAACTACCTTTGGGAGAGAGTTCATTGAAATCCTTGAGTACATCTTGGAGCAAGAAGACACGATTGAAATGAGACGCATGGAGTCGGAATTCGGGGCTGGTACTGTGACAGACCTTGAAGATTTGGAGGACAAAGCGGATCAAATGCATCGTGTCCTCTTGACCCTTACCTCAGGTGAAACAGAGGATTTGATGGTAGGAGCTTCAAATGGATTTGAAGCATATCGAAGGGTTCACCGCCGCTGGGATCCCCGAACCTCGGGACGGAAACGCAATATTCTCAGAGCAATCCTCCAACCCGAACGAGTCAAAACGTGGACTGCTGTGAGGCCAGCGATCGAACAGCTCGAAGAACTCATCAGGAGGTACGAATCCCAGAGGACTGCCGCAGGGACAAGGGGAACTCTATCGGACGACATTAAGTCCGCCTGAGGTGTCAGCAAGACGATGTCTTCCGGAGTTTGCCTTGCCAGCTGAAGAGGCACCCAGTCGCAGGAGATGCAGGTTCCAAGACGAAAGTATACATGAGTCCCAGGTACACAGAGTCGTCACCAGATCTAATGAACTTGCTCAACAGCCCAAAGAAGGCGTCTTGGGTCAGCCAGAACTTGCAGCAAAAGTTGGCCATGGTTGGAAATGGTTGTGATCACAAAAAATCGATCACCAAGTTGTGCCAAATGGCCCACATCCTCATGGGTATGTCCAACGCAGAGGTGCTCAATGCTGACTTGGGTAAAAAAGCCAGCCCCTGTCATAGAGGCGCACCAGCCTCCAAAGATTCCGTTCTTGCATTCCTGGGGCATAGTGAGGTGGGTCTTGTATAAGGCCAGGAAAGTTGAATTCCTTCCATACTGCCTGCCCCAAAACATAAAATCACCAAAGATTGACACTGATTTAATCATGTTTGGTTCTTTGGGCGTGTTGTCTGCCCATAGTTTCAACACATTTGGCCAGCTGTAACCACGCTGTTGTGCTTGGCGATATGCAATGTCCAGTGAACGGTTTAGGACTTCAATGACCCATGAGGATCCAGTCGCCTCCCCTTCGTCCGCAATGGCCACATAAATCAGTCTTCCATGAACCATGCTACAAGTAACTTCACAATCTGGACGATTGAGGGTGCTCAAGTTCTTGGGGATGTGCCCGCCCAAGAACCGGGGGAGACAAAACTTCCCCTTGTCCATGGAATCCGAAATCTTTCGCGCTTGGCCTGGGTCCTCAACTGCCAGTATATGGCGCGGTCCTGGAATTGACCCATGAGATGCCTCATGAGTTCATCGGAGGCCTGGGCATGGGAGGATATGTCTTTCGCGTGTCTGAGCATCGATTTCAGCTTGTGGCATATGGTGCAGGCAGTGTGTGAAGACGGACATTGAGGGCTTTCTTCCATCCACTCTCAGATAGGACCTTGTAAAAGGTACTTGGTGCAGCCACACTCAAACCCTGCGCTGACTGGAATCCAACATACAAGTGGTACAGGTCAGAGGAGGTACCCGGCGGGAGATACCGCCGCACCAATTGAGCAGGGTCCAGCTTGTACACTGTCTGTGACAGGTCTGATTGAAATGCTGAATCCACCAGGTATTTCAAAAGTTTCTGCTGCACCGGCTCGGTAGCTAAAGGTTCACCAGGGTCGTGAACTTTTAACCTCATGCAGTAGACTCAAAGAACTCACAAAATGATTGTTAAAAACAGGATTCCCTCAGCTGTATGAAGGCAGCCCGGTAACTCGTGAGGCAAAGTCTCTCCCAAAGACCAGTACATCCTTTCTAGGAAAGAAAGGACTGAAGCAGATGCCTCTGCAGTTCGAGAGCTAGCGTTGCCTAGGTTTGTGCCCGCACACCCTGTAACTGTAGAAACATAAGTGGAATAAAAACAATCAAAAGCTGGACACTGTCTAAACTTAGAGCCAGTGTGCCATACTTGCGTTTATCTTCCCCTTTGAAGTTCCTGCGACATCGCACTACTCGCCATGAACCGACTGCAAGTAGTCTGCAAAATGCTTCCCGGCAGACCTGGATGCCTCAGGGGCAGGCCCCAAAAGATTCCAAAAGGTTGTCAAGTTGAGTCTCTTCCTAAACATCTCAACAAGGGTTCTTCTGGGCACCCCGTTCCTTCAATGAACCATTGATGTTGCATTCTCTCGGAAGATGAAGAAGACGTGCGTTCGTTCTCATTCTGGTCACCCCCCTCTGAAGATTCACTATCGGCACTCTCAACTAGTGGACGGGTATTTTGGATTCCCCAGAGCAGGCAGTCTTGGGCTGACTTGCTCAGGCCCCAAAACAGGCAGCAAAGTCAAAAAAATGTTTTGAAGTTCACTTGTTTGTAGCATCGCCGAGAACAGTTGCAAGCCCCTTCCTTGAGTATCTTTCTAATCCTTTCTTCGCTCTTCCCATTGGAGGCTGCAACTGACGAATCTTCTGTCCCATCTTCCCCCGGAAACATGGACATCAAATCACATCGCCCTGAGGTTGTCCGCTGCTTCTTGCAAGAAGGCTCTGACAGCTCGGAGAGGCTGGCACTATAGGTTGAAGAGGAGCTACTGTCAGAAGAGCTGCCACTGCCATCCACGTCAAAACGTTGCAACATGTTTTAGAGTCACTATGAGCAAGCACTCATTTTGTGGTACATATTGAGCAACTTAGTTTGATGTCGCTTGCCTTGTGTTCATGACATGCCATAATGTGTTTACGTTGGAAGTGTGTTGAAGATATCCACAAAAACCTCCTCATATCTGCATGACGCTTGAACAGCGTTACCAAAAGGACCAGGACATTAAATACAAACGCCATGAATACATATGAATACAAACTGCCAGGATTGAGGCCATTCCTATAAGTCTTAGGTGCCTTGATGTGTGGGACCTTTTTTGCACCATGGCGGTTAAGACCACCGCGATCTAAGTCATATCGATCTGGGATGAGCTAGGTCACATCGAAGACTCATGCTTCTTTCTAGCTGCCTTGCAAAATTCATGGATACTTGCGGCTGATAGGGCGGCCAAGAACGCAGCTGATACGCATTTGGTGTGCATAGCCTCAGATACCAGCATGAATCCCATATGAATCCTAGCCCCTATCTGAGTATATGTTCTTTTCTGC